ACACCTCCTTTTGAAAAAACACAGGTGCTGTTACAGCACTAACAGGTCATCCCTTGACTTACAAGCTCAACACAAGTGTTGCCACAGTGCATACAGGTCATCTCTTGACCTACGCATCAACAGGGCTGCTGTTACAGCAAGTACTGGTCACTTTCTGACCTTCAGTTCACCATAAAAGCTGTTGTTGCTGCACACAAGAGGTATTGGTCACTTTCTGACCCACAGTTCACCATAAAAGCTGCTGTTGCAGCACAAAAAAAAGGTCCTCACGACCTACAGTTTCACAGGGATCAGTCGACCCCACAAAAAAGGAAAGAAAGAGGTGCTGATCACCTCACATCCAATCGGTAGACCTAGTACAGGTTCTGCCCTGGCACACGACCAGAAAAAAAAAAGGTAAGAGAGAGAGAGAGAGAGAGAAAAGTTACTTCAATGTGTGAGATCTTCAATCAGCCGAACAGCAGATGAGGGCGGCAGATCTGGAAATCTGGTGTGAAGAAGAAAAAAAATGTTCACTCGACTTCTCCTTTCAGATCTGATAGTCCCGCTCTGATACCGTGTTATGTAGGAGAAAAGAATGGAAGAAGAGAGAGAAGAGAGAATTGAGAGCAAAAAGATACTGCTGGCGGCACAGCTTTTTTAATATATATACTAGGGTGACAGCAACTAAAATAAAAAGGAGTAAAAGTACAATAGTACCCCTGTGGTACTATACATAGGAAAAAATAACAGCTGTTAACAGTAAGAAATGATTTAAGGGCTAATAATTTAACAGTGGATATGGCTTTAAATAGAACGAATTGGTAAAACAGGATTAGTTGGGACAAGGTATGGATGATGATGATGACCTTTTCTACCCAAAGCACTGAAAAATGCATGACAACAAAGGAAAAATTTCAGAAATTCCTGGATTGAAAATTTGAGTCTACTACACATCTCTAATTCAAATTTTGAAGTTCAGTAAGCTGTCAAGAAGAAAGGTGAACATCATCAGTCGATTTCATTTGAGCACTCAAATCAATCCCATGTGAGCCCTTCCACTCCCTCTAACAAATCCCAGTGTTCTTGCATTTTCTCTAGAGTGAAATATCTCTATAAAAGTTGCCCTTAATGTACCTATGCTCTCTGTAAGAATTTAATAGAGATTTAGCCCAAGAAATCCATGCCTTTCATTAATCAAATCAGATCACCCCACTAACCCTAAAACCCTTTATCCACCTTCCCTCAACCTATTTTCACACTCACAAGCCTAAATCTTAAATCCTTAACCTGAGAAAGTAATAGTTGTCATGGAAATAACAATTGGCATGGAAGTAACAAGTAATTACTGTAATAATATAAGAAATAGATTTTTTTTCCTATTATTACCAATGGTTCATGGATCTTTTACATATTTTCGCATTTTAGACTTTCTTTAAGTAATGCTGTTGTCAAATATTAGTTATGAAATAGTTTTCTAATTAACTTCTCATTTATGTAGTAATTTTCTTAACTATCTTGCATCTTTTTTTTTTAACTTAAAAGAAGGAAGTCAACTACAGATTGTATTAAACTACCCGTTGCTGGGGAGATAAGTTTTTATTGTAGAAGGGGAAAAATATAGGTCAAATATTTCAGCCTGAAAAAATTTCAGTCAGTTTTATGTTGAAACAAATGCAGCCTGAAGGAAAATGAAGTCCGTGTTTCCAAAAATACCGTACAACTGAGTGAACAACAAAAACTAGTATTCCTTCTAACCTCCATTTCTTATTGCAGTTTGATGCCTTGAAGGGGACAGTAAGGCATTATAGCTTTATTCCACCTGGTGGGGGGGGCATCATGGCACACTCGTTAGCTCACATTGCTTCTTTGTTAAAGGTACATTTATGGAATTGCCTGCAAACCCTCGAAACAAAATCGTGCATTTTTTTTTGGTAATGCAAAATCGTGTATCATGGTTTTCTTTTTTGTTATGCGAATTTGTTTCCCTCTCCAGGTGAGAGAAGATGACCAATCCGGCGATGGTATAGAGTCTGTTATCAATAGAGTTGAGAGCTTCTTAGCTGAAGGGAAACTTGCTGAAGCAGCAGATGCTCTTGAGGGAGGTGTTCGTGGTAGCCAAGCAGAGGAAGTAATAGGTGATTGGGTAAAACAAGCAAGGAACAGGGCCATCACAGAGCAAGCTCTGTCCCTGCTTCAATCATATGCTACTTCTATCAGCATTTCTTAAATCATGAGTTTTTTTTTTTTCCTTTTTTTACATTTTTTTATCTTTAAAAGAAAGAAAAAATTTGCTCGGGGTGGGTTTTGCCCAATTGTCCTTAACACTAAAATATTGTTAGTTCTTATGCCCATTTCAGTTTTCTTAGGTTTTGGGGAGTAATGATTAAATGGGAAACCTCCCCTTTTCAGCGACTCCAACTTTTGTATGCAGTTACTTGCAGCGGTGCGTTGCACTACACTGAACAGATTACTTAAAACATTTTCCAAATAAAATCTGATTTTTTCCACCGGATTTCCTGCACTCGGATAGGTGTGTGCAGGGGTGTACTTCCAAAGTTCCAATCAAAATCAAAACATCATAGTTCACATGTGGGAACCCTAGTTGCATGTACAGAAAACTAAATGGTACCTTAACATATAATTTTTTGAAACTAAAAAAATACCCTACAAATGCCATTAACGATTGCAGGAAATTCTTCCTTTTTTAAGCTTGACAAGGGGAGTAAATCATTCGCAAGAAATTAATTTTTTAAATATACAAGGAGAGCTTGAGAAGTCTGCCGATATCCCATAATTTATGATCTGGAAGCATGTTACGTGACTTGGGAGAATTCACCTTTAAAAGCTAGCTGTTAGAGGGAGGGAACCCAAGCACATATATACCCCACAACAGGTAGAATGGGATACCTCACATTAGCATCCCATATTATCAACATGGGACAAATGGATCGTAACATAGCAATCAATTCCAGTGGTCAGTTCTGGAACTTTTGTCCAACTTAATGGCCCAAAGCAGATTTCTGCCAGTCTCAGATTGGCATTTGTCTAGGGAAGATTCACTAAGACCAATCAGATTGGGAATTGTCTAGGTAGAATGAGGTCAGAGACGAAATGAATGTTACAAAAATTCTGTCATCTTGTATGGTTTGAGAGATAGAGGCGAGGAATGTGACGGGTGGGGAAAACAAGAATGAGAGGGTCTGTGTTAATGGTGCTCAAAGAAGCAATGGTGAAGAAATAAAATAGTTTCTTGCAAAAGCAAGAATTTCCCGCAATCGTTGGCGTCTTTCCAGTCTCTTTGTTTGAGATTCTTCTTCCATTTGAGGGTTTTGGTTTGCTTATTTTTCACCTTTTCTTTTTGGTTTGTTTCAAAAATTATATTATGAAAAACTAGTGGAAAAAAATTACCCTTTAATTTTCTCCGCACATGCATGGAGTGCTTAAGTAAACATGCGTTCGGTTTGATTGGAAGTGCACCCCTGCACACACCCATCCGAGTGCAGGAAATGAGTCTGATCTCCTGCCCACCAAAACTCTACCCACGTTTATCTCAGCCACACATGGAGAACACCTCATCCTTTGCATAGTATTATGCAGGGGGAGATGTTCCCAATTCACAGGGGGTAGTGTATTGTGGGTAGGCGTGGAAAGGAGATCCGGAGTCGCAGGAAATCCGATCTCGTTTTTATGTTTTGTCACTGCCCAGCTGTTTAGCTGTTCTTCGGACCGGTTTTGGTTGTCTTTGGCTCAAGACACAGGGCTAATGGGCCCCTATTTGTGGTCTCTGGCTCCTATAACTTACCATGTCGCAGATGTTGAAAGGATAACTATCATCATCGCATGGCCAAGGTCCCACCTTACAGGACCTACACCTGTACAACAAAGACCAGTATGGCTAGGGGTGATCATGGGCCGGACTGAACTTTGTACCTATGATAAGGGCTATAGTTTGGGCCTGATGCAAGTTTCTGGCCTGAAACATAAGCCCGACTTGATTCTGGGCCTGTAGCTTTTACTTATAAAATATTATATATATATATATCATATAATATGCACACAAACCTGGGCCTGAAGAAGGCCCAAGCCCAGAATTTCTGGGCCGGGCTGAAAATGATCACCCCCTAAGTATGATTAGTTTTTTTTTTTTTTCCTGCCATCTGATCCATCCATTAATTTAGCCCCATGATACAGGGGATGAATCTGACCGTGAATTGATGCCAAATTCACGGGCAGGATGTGATTTATATAGGGAGGGGATACTAGTAGACTATGGGAGGACTGTCATTCAGAAATCTGCATTGGGTTGCAGAGTACTTAACCCAATATTTAGAGGTGTACAATTTGTCCAAGTGGGTCGTAACCACCTGTAACAATTCTAACCATCCATATTAATCCCTTATATTAAAATATATATTGGGGTTGTTCTGGATATATTCATTTTATTTTATCTGTTTTTTTAAATAGCAAAAATCACGTCAGGGAAACGAATTCACTGACATGAGTTTCCAGAAAAGCATCTTAAAAACGAAATTGGTCCATTGAAGAAAAACACCACCACCAACAAATATATTACACAAACCGATCAACAAATTTTGAAAATGAAAATTTTAGCTATGAAAAACCAAACCATAAAATTGGAAAAAAAAAACTGTTGACATTATGGAAAGTAGAATGCGTTTTGAATTTTGGATTTTCGAAAAACATCCGATTTTACCACCTTATGGACCTGGCGTTCTAAATTTGGTAACATAGTAACCTTAGAAAACAATTTAGGCTGATCTTTGCCCAGTAAACCTTTAAATCGAGACCCAGTGAAAGGTGGGTCCTGATAATCTTAATTTACTACAGATAGTTGTCCTAAGCATCAGAAGCCCCAGTCTACATGCTACAACTTACTGATTACAGTCACAAAGGTGAACCCAGTAGCCAGGTCCGAGCATGCCTAAAATTTAAGCCTGACCTGATTTAGACGGAATCCTTTTGCAACACCAACAAATAGAAAGAAACTTTCCCATTGTATATAATTGCATTTGATGAGAGCAGAAAATAATGTTTTAAAAATCGATCTGAAACTGAAATCGTTTTGGCCACCGGTTTTTTTGTCAACCATAACTTTTTGATTCAAATGAATGTCCTCTTTCAATTTAAAAAAATAAATAAATAAATAATAATTAAAATAAAATAGCTAAAAACCGTTGTTCGGATCGATGGATCGAGCACCTGATCGAGTCAGCGGGTCTACCGTTGCTTTGAGTATGAGTACTACCAAAAAATAATTTATGTTAAGCTTTTCCAGCATAAAGACAAACACAACCATGAAAAAAAAAAAAAAAAACACTTTCACCAGAGTGAAAGAAATATATGTAATGGATCTGGGGTCCATCATCATAAGTGGGCCCTAGGACCCATAAGGCACATGCCTGACCAATCATTAACCATATCCTTTGCTGGATACCATGTTTAACTCTCTCTAGCTTCTGTGGTCCTTGGAGGCTATTGGACTTATTCATCGTCCAAGTCAAAAGATGGCCCACTGATTGAACGATTAGGATTGAGGAGCTGATGGGCCGAATCCACTGCCAAAAAGGGCTGGCACTAGGCACCATGTCCATGAGAGATATGACTGCCTACCTCCCAAATGACTAAATAAGGGAATGCCGTAGGCCATTCATTCAATGCTTTTTATCTTTTTCTTTTTCTTTTCTTTTCTTTTCTTTTTCTCTTTTTTATTTTAAATGGATGGATGGATGGTTGGCCGTCCATCAATGCTTATAGCTCATAATTAGGTTTCAGAAATAGATCTCTCCTCTTTCTAATATTTAATTGAACATTTGAACTACCTTTATTTAATTTTTGGTTATCTTCATTTAGACATTAATTTGCTGTATGAAGCAAAGCATAATTAGAGAAACCCAATTATAGAAGACATGGATCCTAACTCCTAAACTGCCAAAAATCAAAACCTTCTAGAATGATTCAGTCCACTAAATCATGATCTCTTGTCTTTGTCTTGAAAGAATTGACCATGAGCTTACCACATTGTTTTAGGAGTTTTAAATTTTCTTAACAAACAGAAATTGTCGAATCGATTATTCATTGTTCCAATTTTTAAAGGAGAATTCATGATGAATTTAGTTTCCTTTTTAATCTGATATGATTTGCAGCCCTTTGTAGTTCTCCAATCTTCAGTGATGAACTGAATGTGCGGTGGTCACTTGTCCACATACCCAGTGAACCCTATTTTTACTCGATCAATATTGACCCACTACCAAACTGTGTCATGGCCCCACCGTACCCCAAACTGAATCATCAGAACCATCCAATCAATGATTTTTCTTTGGGATAACGTAAATCCTATCAATCAATCAGCCAACGTCCATTACTTTCATCAATGCTTGCTTGCTTTTACAAATGCCTTCCCAGTTCCCACTGTTCCCCTATTTTTTCGAACTCATTTAAAATACTTATTTTTTCGATTTTTACTAAAAGAACAAATAGTAACATCAACAAATAAATGTTAATAAAATATAGGATTAATATATATACTTAAAAGTGAGTTAAAATTTGAGATTAAATAGTTTTATAAGATTTTAAGGAATGGAAAGAAGGTTGGATTGGGCCCAACCCCAACTTAAGGTTAGGTTGAAGGAATTTAGTTAGGATTGGATAGATCAGGTTGAAGGTTGAGTTGGGTTAGGATTAAGGTTGGGGGTTTAGGACTTAGGGTTGGCCTCAATCCGACCTAATTCGGCCCAACTTACAGCCCTACTTTGCTTTCACAAATGTCTTCCCAATGTCCACTGTTCCCCTCTGGTTTTCTTTTTTTTTTTTTTTTCTTTAACCCATGAAAGCCGAGGCCAAACAGTTAAACAAATGAATGAGAAAAATGTCCCTACCTTTTTCATTCAAACCAAACGCAGCCTTAACTAACAAGTCCAACAGATTCGTTAAATTCTCATTGTTGTTATGTATTATTATACTATAATTTCAATACAGGTGAGAAATCAATTTCATTTGGTTGAACTATAACGACAAAATTATTAGGCCCTTTATAATTTCATGAATTTACTTAAATCTATCCTATAGCTTATGTTTTATTAAAACACCCCCTATATAGTTTGTAATGATTTACTTAATTGATCTTTCCTTAATAATCATTTGTATTACTGTTAGAAAATGGTCATGCGACTGCCTAAAATGAGTGAAAAATGTTTAAGGGGATGGATCGAAGGTTTTTTTTTTTTTTTTGTCAAAAAGAGAAGCAGCTTCATGTATTACTTGATAGATAATACCTAGGATTGTAGTTTATGATCATTTGACCTTTACATGCAGAATAAACAAGTGCGTGAACAGCTCTATTGAAACTTCTATTTATATGAACAAAAAATATATTTGTGAAAAGAGAAATAAGCTTTCTGAGCTTTGACCAGTGCAGCTGCTCGATCCATTCTACTGGTGATCCCTTGCTACCCAGAAAATGAACTAACTTCTCAGAGTCACTATTTCT